TCTCTCTCTCTCTCTCTCTCTCTCTCTCTCTCTCTCCTCTTTCCCTCCCCCTCTCTCTGTTTTTGTTTTGTTTCTTTTTTTTTCTCCCCTCTGAGTAGCCCTGGCTGTCCTAGAACTCACTCTGGCCTGGCACTCAGAGATCTACCCTCCTATGCCTTGAGAGCTGGGGTTAAAGGATTGTGCCACCTTTCTCACCAACTCAGGGAGATCTGCCTAGGGAGGATGCTGCTACCCACAGTGAGCTGGGAACCCCTAAATAAATTGCAAGTTAAGTATCTTAACTTTGGATGCCTGTAAAATAAATAAAAAAAAAGTTAACTGCTTTGTATTCTAAAAGGGAATAATTGGAGCACAGTTAGAATCAAATCAAAACAAAGCCAGCATCCAGCAATGTAAATAAAATCCTGTAGATCAGTGGAGCTCATCTGGAGCTCATTCGTCATCTTCTGGGCTCGAAAGCACGCAGGAAGCTCCATGTCTCCTGCTCTGTTGTTGGAAGCACAGCTTGTCTTATAGGCTCGGGGTAGCTTCCACTCCACATCTGCCACTGTGCTTTGTGGCCGCCCTGTGAGACTTGGGCATGATGAGGTCCTCACTGCAGCTGAGGTCGCTCTTTCCCCAGTGGCCTCTCCTGGCCTCCCACCTGCAAAGCCTCAGCAGTTCTCCTTAACCTCGTCGTGTCTTCAAAACCAGAACAACTTAGGAAATTCTTAGATACTAAGTTGAGCTTTTAGCCTGAGATGCAGCCCTGCTCCCACGCCGAACTACGGCTTCTACTGTTTCCTTGAGAAATTACCCCAGAAGATTTTTTTTTAACCTCAATGGTGCTTATATTTTAGCCCCTGATAACCAATGCCAAATTTCCTCGTTAAGCCCAGGTTTCACTTCAGTAGTGTTGATGTCTTGTTAATCGTGGCTGATTCTTCAGCCCCAGCTGATCAGAAGCTGTGGCTTCATAATTTCAAACACCATGCAAGCGACGCTGGTAGAGTCTTTGAGTGATGCCTTTTAGGACACGTGGCGAACCCGCCAATCACAAAAAGTCTGTACTTCAAAGGAAGGGGTACTTGATGGATGAAATGAGCACCTGTCGAAGATACCTACTTAATGCCCACCTTCGATGTGTATTCCCAAAGGGGCCATGATGATGCTATTGTTTGTACCATAGAAGTAGGATGTAGATGTAGAAAGGATGCAGATAGGATGTAGATGACGATAGGATGCAGATGTACATAAGATGCAGATGTAGATAGAATGTCGATGTAGATAGGATGTCGATGAAGATAGGATGTAGATGTTGATAGGATGCAGATGTAGATAGGATGTGTATAACGATAGGCTGTAGATGTAGATAATGGTAAGATGTAGCTGTAGATAGGATGTAGATGTCTATAGGCTATAGATGTTGATAGAATGTAGATGATGTTGATAGGATGTAGATGTTGATAGGATATAGATGTTTACAGGATGTAGATGTTGATAGGATATAGATGTTGACAGGTTGTAGATCTCGATAGCATGTAGATGATGTTGATAGGATGTAGACCTTGATAGGATGCAGATATTGATAGACTGTAGATTTTGATAAGATGTAGATGATGTTGATAAGATGCAGATGTTGACAGGATGTAGATATTGACAGGATGCAGATATTGATAGGATGTAGATGTTGACAGGATGTAGATATTGATAGGATGTAGATGTTGACAGGATGTAGATATTGATAGGATGTAGATGTTGACAGGATGCAGATATTGATAGGATGTAGATGTTGACAGGATGCAGATACTGATAGGATGTAGATGTTGATAGGATGTAGATATTGATAGGATGTAGATGTTGATAGATTGTAGATATCTATAGGATGTGGATGATGTTGATAGGATGTGGAATCATGACAGAATAAATCTCTGGACATATCTGGGGACGATAAAGATTAGGTAAACTGAGATGGGAAGACCTACCCTAAATGATGGTGACACCATACATGGCCTGGTGTCCTGAACTGAGCAAAGTGAACTGAGTGCCAGAATTCATCTCTTTCTGATCCTGCCTGCAGATGCAATGCGGCCAGCTGCCTCAAACCCCATCACTCTGCCATTCTCACCAAGGCCGACTCTACCCTCCTCAAACTGTGGATCTAAAGAAACCCTTCCTTTAAATCGCTTAGTCAAGTAACCTTCATCATAAAAGTGAGAAAAGCAGCTAACCAAAGAGTAACCAGTTCATCGAATCTCTGCTACCTCCATCTCACAGCTATTTCTACATCACTCATTCCGCTGTTTCCTCTTAGCACACACTGCAGCTTGAAGTTCAAACAGCATTCACTCTCTGCTCTGCTTGTGTTCAACACCCGTGTCAGCAAGTATGTCCGTCCTGTTCCTTACTGGACATTTCTTGCTTTCTAATTCCAAATCCTCTCAGCTCTACCCTTAACTTCAGCTGAGGAGGGAGTTCCAAGCAGTTCCTGCAGCAGTTTCTATGGACTGTCTGTCTGTCTGTCTGTCTTTAGTGTGCGCTTCAGACAAAGGAAGAAGGACGACTGACTTTTGCAAAAGTTTCCTAGATTCCTACGTCAATTGAATTCTAGCTATTTGGCCAGCAGGAGACATTGGTGGGAGACAGAGGAGAGGAAGAAGGAAAGAAGGTCTTTCTCCTTTTTTCTCTCTGTCCCTGCTGATACCTAAGGTAGGGGCTGAGCAGGAGACTCCGGGGCTGTAACACAGGTATTCCAGGACAGTCCTAGCCAATATTCAACCCACCTGAATGACTAAGACTTCTTACTCAAAGTGTTATCTCTGATGGGCTGGATCATGCCACCTGACCAAGTTCAAACCCAACTCCCACAATACTGTGAACCTGACCACACACATGGACAGGGTCTTTAGAAATAATTAGTTACGGTGAAGTTTCGCTGGGGCAGAGGAAGCTCTGCTCTGCAAACTGCTCTCTGCAGAGGGGAAGCCAGGACAGAAAAGGAGGAGACTGTGAGCTGACTGGGAAAGAGCTGTTGAGATGCTAGGATAAGCCAAGGAACAGCAAGTGCTGGGGAAGAGGCAGGAACAACCTTTCCCTTAAAGCCTTCAGAAGGAGCTGGTCTGAACACTTTGATTATAAATGTTTAGCCCTTGAGACTGTGGAGAGATAAATTTCTACTGTTTAAACACCCAGGTCATGGTAACTTCTTAAGGAATGCAAGGATTTGGGTACAATCTCTTTTCATCTTACTCTTCATCCTTCAGGGCTAACACCAGAAGATGCTAGCGGTCGACCTCCAGGCTGCCTCAATCTCCCTCTCTCTTTTTCTCACGCTTCATAGTACCTGGAAAATCCACTCCTCCTGCTAAGTTCTCATTGAGTAAACAGACACTCTGGTCTCAGTTTCCTCCTGGGGCCCAGAGGGATGCTCTACTCTACCTGATCTTCATAATATGCCTACTCTTTTCCAGGCACTGTATTAAATATTTTACCCAGATCATTGCATTTAATCCTTCCATCCATCTTTTGACAGAAGCCCTGCTTACGGCTCTGGACCAGAAGGGAGAATGAGAAAGAGGGAAGAATGCAATCCAGAAAGGTCACTTAACTAGTTAGAGACAAATGGTGATTTAAAGCCAGGCTAGGCTGGCTGGAGA